GTCTTTAGAATTCTCTGCCAAAGAAGGCTTGTGCCCCACCAAATTATGATTCCCATGATTTGATAGCAGGGAGCCATAGCTGTTAAAGTGGCGTCAATTTGTTTTAATTCTACAGTGTAGACATACCCTTGGTCAACCAAGAGTTTATTTAGTAGCAGCTGATAGGGGAATTGTGAATGTGAATACTCCACTTAGGCAGAAAAAATGAAATGCAAAGATACAGAATGGGGGACGCGTGGCTCGAGAGCAGTACGTGTGAAAAAGATCTTGGAGTCCTCGTGGACAACAAGTTAAACATGAGCCAACAATGTCATGTGGGGGCAAAAAAAAAACCAATGGGATTTTGGCCTGCATCAATAGGAGCATAGTGTCTAGAAGTCACGCTCCCTCTCTATTCTGCCTTGATCAGACCACACCTGGAATATTGTGTCAATTCTGGGCACCACAATTGAGGAGAGATATTGACAAGCTGGAATGTGTCCAGAGGAGGGCGACTAAAATGATCATGGGTCTAGAGAACAAGCCCTATGAGGAATGGCTTAAAGAGTTGGGCATGTTTAGCCAGAAGAAGAGAAGGCTGAGGGGAGACATGATAGCCATGTATAAATATGTGAGATTAAGTCATAGGGAGGAGGGAGCAAGCGTGTTTTCTGCTTCCCTGGAGAAGCGGAACAATGGCTTCAAACTACAAGAGAGGAAATTCCATCTGAACATGAGGAAGAACTTCCTGACTGTGAGTGCTGTTCAGCAGTGAAACTCTCTGCCGCAGAGTGTAGTGGAGGCTCCTTCTTTGGAAGCTTTTAAACAGAGGCTGGATGGCCATCTGTTGGGGGTGCTTTGAATGCAATATTCCTGCTTCTTGGCAGAATAGGGTTGGACTGGATGGCCCATGAGGTCTTTTCCAACTCTATGATTCTATGATTCCAAATGGCTATGGAGATTCTGGTTTTACAAAAGGTTATGATCTCAAAAAGGCAATAACTTCCCAGAGGTTTTGTCTTTCAAAAGGCTATGATTTCCAAAAATATTCGATTCCCTGCTCAGTCATAGAAACCTATTGAAATGATTTCAAGGTACACAACGATGACAACAAGAACAATGGAAAAAATGACTTCTGCTGCACAAAATGATAGAAATAACTAGTTTCATTTCAACCTGTCTCAACATTGAGTTAATTTCAAAAATGACAACTGGGAGTTTTTGCCCCCTTCCACATCATGTTTTTTTCACAAGTGGGCGAACTGGTGCAAAAACTATTTAGAGGATTGCGCTCGTGAATAAAGTGCATAGGTCATATGGCAGCAGTACGATAGAGAACAATGTAAAAGGTAGAGCTTTGGTTCAAACAATAGTAAAGTGCAAGGACAAGATTTTGGGTTCTAGCTGAAACCAGTTGTCTAAGGAATTGTCTAGTCAAAAGCACAGTGAAACATCCACATCTTTAGACCAACTCTGTTACCTTTAAAGAAAACTGTTTATTTTGTCTTTGGGAGGTACTTAGCTAACCAAGAGACTCCACGGGAACATGTCTGTCCCTAGCTGGAAACAACTGCTACATCATAGGGGAAGCAGGACAGGAAGGGATTTCCCCCGCTGTAGCATGATTTAAAGACAAATATATTTTAAGGAAGAGTACATGTTTTGGGGCAACTAAAAGAACACTTCTGAAACTTTGCTGAATATATGTTTTGTGCATTGGCATTTCTTTGTCCCTGACAGTTCAAAGACATACCTAGGTACATAACAGCTGAGAGACCTAGTTGCCATGCATGAATGCGGTAAACATCGTTTTTCAAAAGGTTGTGACTTCTAACAAGGTCATGCCTTTCCAGTGACCAGTGATATTTTTCAAAACAAGTTATGAATCCTATTTCCCAAATGGTTATGGAGATTCACATTTGCCAAAAGGTTATGGCATCATTTTGCCAAAAACCGTAGCATCTAGTGGCACATTGACACTAACCCATTATCCCAAAGGAGGGGTGACGTAGCTCCATAATGGCTGCACATGGCATGGGCCTGATTTGGGTTAATTCAGCCTTGAATTGCGTTAACCAAAATTGTGGGTTACTCTGAATTCCCCCCAAGAATCCAAAGCAAACTGCAATGTTGGGCCCATATAAGCAGTTGGGCTGTTTCCAAGATGGAAACAGCTGCAACTGTTGACATGGCTATTTCAGATTTCCTTGGCTTCAGTGGCCCAGGGACACAGGAAGGCACTCACCATCCAAATCATCATGATGGCCACTGGGCCTAACGTGGCTGGTATCCATTACTAGTCACCTGGAGTGAATTGACACCTGACGATGTCACTCCAAGCAACAAGCTATGGACACCAGCCATTTTGCACTCAGAGGCCCCTGCAATGCCAAGAACAGGAGGTGATTGTACAGAAGTGGGCATCTGGCAGCGCCAAAATGAGTTTGGCACCACTGGATGACCAGGACTCCTTCCTGCTTCTGCAAACCTAGGAATTGGGGGTGGAAACCATCCTGGGACTGACCTGGAACTCAACACTCTGGATTAGCTCTGAGATAGTGTATATTTGGTCAGACCTCACATGGAACTGTCCAGTTGCGCATACCACAGGAGCCTCAGTAGCGCAGCGGGTTAAACCGCTAGCTACAGGAAATATGCTGACTGGAGGGTTAGAAGTTTGAAGCCGCGAGTCAGGATGAGCTCCCCGCTGTCAGCTCTTGCTTCTGCCTAACTAGCAGTTCGAAATCATGTATTGCAAGTAGATCAATAGGTACCACGTTGAAGGAGAGGCAAAAGGGCACCCCATGCAGATATGCAGACATGCCCGCAACTCAATCAGAGAAGTCTACGGTCAGCAGGCTCCTCGGCATGGAAATATGGAACAAGAGCACCTCCCCATGATGGCCAGAGTTGAGCTCACCCTGACACGCGCCTCCAGATGCTGGAGGTGGAAGGAAAGGCTTTACCTCTATCTGTGTATTGTATGTCGTTGTGTACTGTGTAAAAAGGCATTGAATGTTTGCCTTATATATGTAATAAGTCTCTGAGTCTTTCCAGGAGATGTAGCAGAATATAAATAAAGTGTGTTGTTGTTGTTGAAGAAGAAGGAGATCGACAACCTGGAACACTGATATATTTAGTTTAGAGAAAAGAAGGTTAAGGGCTGAAACGAAAGCCATGTTCGTAAATGTTTGTATATTTGAAAGGTTGTCACATTGAGGAAAGGAAGAGCTTGTTTTCTACTGCTCTAGGAACAGAGCAATGGATTCAAACTACAAGAAGAGAGGTTAAAGACCTTGTAAAACTACAACTCCCCAAATTCCATAGCACTGAGTCATGGCAGTCAAAGGGGTGTCAAACTGCACCTAAATATGGAGGCTGTCATAATGCATACATATTTACGTATCTAAGCTGGCAAATGAATGCATATCGGCACACCTTTAACTTCCATCACTCAATGCCGTGGAATCCTGAGATCTGTAGTTCAACAAGGTATTTATTTAGCCTTCTCAGCCAAAGAGTGCTGATTCTGCACCAAAGTAGAATTTCCAGAATTCTATAGCCTTGAACCAGGGCAGTGAAAGGGATGTCAAATTGCATTTGTTTTACTGTATAGGTGCACTCAGAGATAGACTGCACCTGAATGTGAAGGCTCTACTATTGCATACATACATACACACATACATTAGAGCAGTGTTTTTCAACCTGGGGATTGGGACTCCTGTGCGGGGTTGCGAGGGAGGTGTCAGAGGGGTCGCCAAACACCATCACAAAACACAGTATTTTCTGTTTATCATGGAGGTTCTGTATGGGAAGTTTGGCCCAGTTCTACCGCTGGTAGGGTTCAGAATGCTCTTTGGTTGTAAGCAAACTATAAATCCCAGCAACTACAACTCCCAAATGTCAAGGTCTATTTTTGCCAAACTCCACCAGTGTTTCCATTTGGGCATATTGAGTATTCATGCCAAGTTTGGTCCAGATCCATTGTTGTTTGAGTCCACAGTGCTCTCTGGATATAGGTGAACTACAACTCCAAAAACTCAAGATCAGTGCCCACCAAACCCTTCCAGTATTTTTTTGTTGGTCATGGGAGTTGGTTGTGCCAAGTTGGTTCAATTCCATCATTGGTGGAGTTCAGAATGCTCTTTGATTGTAGGCGAACTATAAATCCCAGCAACTACAACTCCCAAATGTCAAGGTCTATTTTTCCCAAACTCCACCAGTGTTCACATTTGGGCATACTGAGTATTTGTGCCACGTTTGGTCCTGATCCATCATTGTTTGAGTCCACAGTGTTCTCTGGATGTAGGTGAACTACAACTCCAAAACTCAAGGTCAGTGCTCACCAAACCCATCCAGTATTTTTTGTTGGTCATGGGAGTGCTTTGTGTAAAGATGGCTTCAATTTTATCATTGGTGGAGTTCAGAATGCTCTTTGACTGTAGGTGAACTATCAATCCCAGCAACTACAACTCCCAAATGACAAAATCAATCCCCCTCAACCCCACCTGTATCCCAACTGGGTGTATCGGATCTTTGTGCCCAATTTGTGCCCAGTGAGTGAAAATACATCCTGCATATTGGATATTTACATTACGATTCGTAACAGTAGCAAAATTGCAGTTTTGAAGTAGCAACAAAAATAATGTTATGGTTGGGGGGGTCACCACAACATGAGAAACTGTATTATGGGATCATGGCATTACGAAGGTTGATTAACATTGCATTAGAGCATGCAGAAGTTTGCTGACAATCTTCATGCATTACAGAGAGAGGGAGGGAAAGGAAAACATGTAAAGAGCAACTTATGGCCCTCCATATGTTGCTAGATTGCAATGCCCATCACACCTTCTCAAACTGGTTAGATGAGAGTTGCAGTCTAACAGCACCTGAGCATTACAGTTTGGGATCCTTGGTTTAGAGTTAGTTTCTTTCCTCTTCCTTTTTCGGGCAATTCTTCCTCTCTTTCCACTCTCCTTCCTTTCTGATTTCCTCCCCCCTTCTCCCCCTTCTTTACTCACCTCCCTGAAGTGCTGATTCAGTTGCAGCCTTTGCAAAATTGGAGAACACTCCAAAGTTTAGGCGACACACGAAAAGGACACTTTAGCCAAAGGGGAGGGACAGGAAGAGGAATACAGTGCAAGTATGAAAAAAAAAAAACCAAACAAACCTAAACACACACTGCACTGTCTATTTTTATTTGTACAGCCCTGTCTAGGCTGGAGAGCTCGGTGGAGTTAACCCATTGAGGTTTTGGTATGCAAGAGCTCCTGACCAGAACACCACAGACAGCCACAGATGCATCTTTACTGTAGAATGAACACAGTTTGACACCACTTTAACTGCCACAGCTCAATGCTGTGGAACCCTTGAATCAGAGTTGGAAGAGACCTCATGGGCCATCCAGTCCAACTCCCTACCAAGAATCAGGAAAATTGCATTCAAAGCACCCCCGACAGATGGCCATCCAGCCTCTGTTTAAAATCCTCTAAAGAAGGAGCTTCCACCACACTCAGGGGCAGAGAGTTCCACTGCTGAACGGCTCTCACAGTCAGGAAGATCTTCCTAATGTTCAGATGGAATCTCCTTTCTTATAGTTCCGCGTCCTAGTCTCCAGGGCAGCGGAAAACAAGCTTGCTCCTTCCTCCCTGTGACTTCCTCTCACATATTTATACATGGCTATCATGTCTCCTCTCAGCCTAGCCCTCAGTTTTGCCTAGCCCACAGTTGACTACATTGACTAGCATTCTCTGTCTGAGAAAAATAAGTACTCAACAAAGATAGAGCCCCTGGTCGCACAATGGGTTAAACCACTGAACTGCTGAACTTGCTGATCGAAAGGTCGCAGGTTCGCATCCAGGGAGCAGAGTGAGCTCCCGCTGTTAGCCCCAGTTTCTGCCAACCTAGCAGTTTAAAAACATGCAAATGTGAGTAGATCTATAAGTACCACTCCGGCGGGAAGGTAATGGTGCTCCATGCAGTCATTCTGGCCACATGACCTTGGAGGTGTCTATGGACAGCGCTGGCTCTTTGGCTTCGAAATGGAGATGAGCACCAACCCCCAGAGTCAGACACGACTGGACTTAACGTCAGGGGAAATCATTTACCTTTACCTAAAGAGGGAGGTGTATCTAGGGCAGGCCTGGGTAAACTTGGGTCCTCCAGGTGTTTTGGACTTCAGCTCCCACAATTCCTAACAGCCTCAGGTCCCTTCCTTTGAATCGCAGGTACTTCTCTTATATAGAATCATAGAATCATAGAGTTGAAAGAGACCTCATGGGCCATCCAGTCCAAACCCCTGCCAAGAAGCAGGAATATTGCATTCAAAGCACCCTGACAGCCCCTGTTTAAAAGCTACCAAAGAAGGAGCCTCCCCCACACTCTGGGGCAGAGAGTTCCACTGCTGAACGACTCTCACAGACAGGAAGTTCTTCCTAATGTTCAGGTGGAATCTCCTTTCTTGTAGGTTGAAGCCATTGTTCCACGTCCTAGTCTCCAGGGAAGCAGAAAACAAGCTTGCTCCTTCCTCCCTGTGGCTTCCTCTCACATATTTATACATGGCTATCATATCTCCTCTCAGCCTTCTCTTCTTCAGGCTAAACATGCCCAGCTCTTTAAGCTGCTCTTCATAGGGCTTGTTCTTCAGACCCTTGAGCATTTTAGTCGCTCTCCTCTGGACACATTCTGCTTGTCAATATCTCTCTTCAATTGTGGTGCCCAGAATTGGACGCAATATTCCAGGTGTGAATATTGTGTCACACCTGGAATATTGTGTCCAATTCTGGGCACCACAATTGAAGAGAGATATTGACAACATTTGTATAAATACAAATGTTGATGATGAAATTATTGTGTATATTAAAATCTATAGCCTCTGAGAATCCAGGTACAGTACTTAGGGCAAGAAATCCCAGGCAATCCTTGCCCAATTCCTTGCCAAATCTGTACACTGAAGGGGTTAAATACACAGAGCCGTGGCGGATAGACAGGCATGTGCATTTGTGATTTCATTGGAGGCCCATTTCCTTCTTGTCTCTGTCCCAGGCTGAAGCCACTGGAGAGCGTGTTGCGGAGGCTGAAAGGAGGGGGTGAGTTACAAATGGTAGCAGGACCCTTCGCTGCAAAGAAAAAGAAGACAAGTTGAGCATCTCCTATCCAAAATGCTCGGGACCAGAACTGTTTTGGATTTTAAAACTCTTGCCTAAACATAATGCAGTATCACAAAGTTGAGATCAAAGCTTATACATGAAATTCATTTATACACGTCGCCTGAAGGTTATTCTATGCACCATATTGTAATTATTTAGTGCATGAAAGTCAGGCTGCATTTACCCTGCCAAATAATGTCGCAGCAAATTGGCTGGGTTTCTTTGTTTAGCAACAAGCCAACCCTTCAGCAGAAGCACTCCCCCCTCCGGTTAAGGAGCAGGCAAGCACAACTTGGATCTTTTATAGTAAACTTTATACAACAGTAGTACGAGGGGTATTTTTAAGTAAGGTCCATTTGAACATAAGTACACAATGAAAGTTTATTTCAAAAAAGTAAATTTATTTTCAGAAAGTACATACTTCACTCTATTTTTTGACATAGTTGCCAAGTTTGTTCAAACACTTATCATACCTCTGAACCAATTTTAAAATACCCTCTTCATAAAAACTTGCCGCCTGCTCCGATAACCAAGAGTTCACTGTAATCAAAGAAGGGTGACCGGAGCGGTCCTCATCATGGACGTTGTCACGGCCATCTTTGAATTGTCGTACCCACTTACACACTTTGCTTTCACTCATAACAGTATCACCGTACACTTCACAAATCTGTCGATGAATTTCTGCAGCAGGCAGGTTCCTTGCTGACAAAAACCGTATCACTGAGCGAACCTCACATGCGGAGGGTGAGTTGATAGTCTTAAACATTTTTAAAGCACAGAACAGAACCGTACAGGTTAGCTACAGAGCGGAAACTGAGCACAGTTGTTCCCGAGGCATGCCGGTACACAACGCACACACTCGTTGCGGTATGCGCGCGAACTACTAGTGTCTACAACAAAATGGACCTTACTTAAAAAATACCCCTCGTATTTACAACTGGGAAATAGAGGGAGAAAACATGGAAGCCGTGCCAGACTTTGTATTTCTAGGTGCAAAGATGAGTGCAGATGCAGACTGCAGCCAGAAATCAGGAGACGCTTACTTCTTGGGAGGAGAGCAATGTCCAATCTCGATAAAATAGTGAAGAGTAGAGACATCACACTGGCAACGAAGATCTGCATAGTTAAAGCAATGGTATTCCCCATAGTCACCTACGGATGTGAGAGCTGGACCATAGGGAAGGCTGAGCGAAGGAAGATAGATGCTTTTGAACTGTGGTGTTGGAGGAAAGTTCTGAGAGTGCCTTGGACCGCGAGAAGATCCAACCAGTCCATATTTCAGGAAATAAAGCCCGACTGCTCATTGGAGGGAAGGATAGTAGAGGCAAAGATGAAGTACTTTGGCCACATCATGAGAAGAAAGGAAAGCTTAGAGAAGACAATGATGCTGGGGAAAATGGAAGGAAAAAGGAAGAGGGGCCGACCAAGGGCAAGATGGACGGACGGTATAAAGCCTCTATACCCAAGGAACTACTTTTTCAGGGAGAAGGAACAGGGAATTTTAAGATTAGTGAATCCCACAAGCTACCAACACTTATAAGGGACTCACAGGAGAAAGACTGATAAATCAGGGGAGGATATAACTGTGTATATATATATCTGAATGAGGTCTGAACTGAGAGGTTTTGTAACTGTTTCTTCAATTGGGGTATGCTGCCACCTTTTCTAATATTCAGGCTGAGAGGATACTTAGTAACACTCTTAGAATCATAGAATCAAAGAGTTGGAAGAGACCTCATGGGCCATCCAGTCCAACCCCCTGCCAAGAAGCAGGAATATTGCATTCAAATCACCCCTGACAGATGGCCATCCAGCCCCCTGTTTAAAAGCTTCCAAAGAAGGAGCCTCCACCACACTCCGGGGCAGAGAGTTCCACTGCTGAACGGCTCTCAGTCAGGAAGTTCTTCCTCATGTTCAGATGGAATCTCCTCTCTTGTAGTTTGAAGCCATTGTTCCGCATCCTAGTCTCCAAGGAAGCAGAAAACAAGCTTGCTCCCTCCTCCCTGTGGCTTCCTCTCACATATTTATACATGGCTATCATATCTCCTCTCAGCCTTCTCTTCTTCAGGCTAAACGTGCCCAGCTCCTTAAGCTGCTCCTCATAGGGCTTGTTCTCCAGCCCTTGATCATTTTAATCGCCCTCCTCTGGACACATTCCAGCTTGTCAATATCTCTCTTGAATTGTGGTGCCCAGAATTGGACACAATATTCCAGGTGTGGTTAATCTTCTGTGTTACTATGGGGTTTATTTTCCTCAGAGGGTTTAAATATCAATGACATTCAAACAAAGGCTGTGGTAGAGAGTTGACTATAGCAAAATGTTTATTTAACAGGTTTGAATTCCTCTGGTACAAATGTGTAAGGGTTTCAGTAGTTCAGTGCTTGAATTACAGGTTCCAGTCAAAACCTTTAAACTGGGAAACTCTTATTATTCCACTAAACAGATTCTCCAATACAAACAGCCCAATTCTCCAGGGTCTGTTTACACAAAAAGTTCTTCCTTGGAGCAACTATTAAGAATTACCTCTTTAATTACCTCTCAACAAAGTTTGCCCCAGGCACAGTCAGGCCATTGTATGCTAATCAAGGTGGTCAGTTGAAACATTCACACCTAGCTACAGCAGAGAAGAGTCCTTTGTCCCACCCTGGTCATTCCACAGATATATAAACCCTTTTTCCTAGTTCCAACAGACCTCACTACCTCTAAGATGCTTGCCATAGATGCAGGCAAAACGTCAGGAGAGAATGCCTCTAGACCATGGCCATATAGCCCGAAAAACCTACAACAACCTATTAAGAATTTATCACAAGCTAAACTTCCTTCTTTTTCCCTTTTCAATTCCTAACTGCTATCCCCAAACTCCAACTGTCAAAACCCAACTGCCAAAACTCAAGCCTCAGAATTCAAAAAGGTGCCTTTTTTCTTTATCTGAATATTAGGCTCCGCACCCTATTCTAACCAATCCTGGCCATCTACCCTTTTCTTCCTTAACAAGGACACGCCCCCTCTAAGACAACCTAACCTAACCCTGCTGGGGCGGGGGGGGGAAAAAAAAAAAAAAAAAAAAAAACAACACCCCCGCAAAAACGGGGCACAACCACGGGACGGTTAACTGTGGGGAGGACGGTGAGGAAGAGGGATGGGGTCGCTCTTTATCTGAATATTAGGCTCCGCCCCCTATTCTAACCAATCCTGGCCATCTACCCTTTTCTTCCTTAACAAGGACACGCCCCCTCTAAGACAACCTAACCTAACCCTGTTTCCCTAATCTAAAATGGCTTCACTAGGCCCATATCCTAACTGTTAAAGGTAAGGGTTCACCACAGATGGCATCCTTGAAGTGACTGGATTGACCTTGAAGGAGCTGGGGGTGATGACGGCTGACAGGGAGCTCTGGCGTGGGCTGGTCCATGAGGTCACGAAGAGTCGGAAACAACAATGAATGAACAACAACAACAACAATGTATTTACAAAGGCTCTAGCACAGTGGTTCTCAACCTGGGGTCCCCAGATGTTTTTGGCCTACAACTCCCAGAAATCCTAGCCAGTTTACCAGCTGTTAGGATTTCTGGGAGTTGAAGGCCATAAACATCTGGGGACCCCAGGTTGAGAACCACTGGTCTAGAGGCATTCTCTCCTGACGTTTCGCCTGCATCTATGGCAAGCAAACCATCACGCATTTGTATCAGAGGAATTAAACCTATTAAATAAACGTTTTGTTATAGTTACCTCTTTACCACAGCCTGTGGGTGTATTTAAACCCTCTGAGTGATGACCCCCCAGGTAGCGGAATCTCCCGCCTTCAAGTTAGTTTGAACCGCAGCAGGGAGTTCCGCAGTTCCATAGAGCAAAGTTGGCTCCGACTGATGAAATATGCCCCAGCCAGCAGCTCAGGACAGAGGACCGCATGGAGCTTTCTTTCACTTTCCCCTCTCCCTCCCTTTGTAACCAATCCCTTAATAAAACACTTGAGTTTTGAAACTTTAAATCCTTTCCGCTTGATACCTTGTGTCCTTTTACCAGCTACAACTTTTCTAACCCGCAATAAGCTCTTTCTGGAGCTCCGGGGAACCGTGAGCTCACTGGGGACGCCTTCCTGGCCTCCCCAGGCCTCCGAATTTGCGCCAGTCCAAATCGTGGATACGGAGGTTTTCTTCCCTATCGGCCCCCTCATCCGCCAAATCAACCGCATGGCGGATCGGGCCCGTTCAAATTTTGCATTTTCTCACATTGACTTCTAAGACTAACTGCTATCTTGGTTTTCTCATTTTGGACTCCTGCACTCATGAAATAATTGTTTTTGTTTAATCATTAAATTCGGCCGAGTCACCAGCTGATTGTCAAAACTCGCTGGCTTTTGCCGCTTGCTTCACTCCCCTCATCGCTGCTCGCTCCAGCATGGCTCCCGCCGCCTGCAATCAACCCCGATTGCCCGAAGAGGAAGCCTTGCAAGTGGGGACCGGGCAGGGAAGGTCCGATCCCCGGATGGGAGCGCTGGTTCCACCAAGGACAGAACGGTGGAACCGAGCTCCCTCCTTCAGCTCCAGCTCCTGTTTTTACGAAATGAACTGATCTCCTGCTGGCCAGCCTGAGCCATGGGCTGGCCCTCACCTCCAAAACTCCCCGCTTGGACCTTGGGACTTCTAGTTTTTTTTTCCCTTTTTCTCTTTCTTATGGAATGAATAAAATACTTTCTTTTGGATGAAGATTGGGGTTGGGTGGTGGGTTGTGGTACATGAAATGCCTGTATATGGATGATGCCTGTATTTTGTAATTATGAAATATGTATCCCTCAATGAACTCCCCTGTATCTTCCCCTCCTTGACCCCTTACCCCAAGAACCCAGCCTGACCAGGAACTGCCTGAGGGAAAGAGCCCAAGCCTCTTTCCCCCAAATCACCCATTGATTGACTCATTTGCATGGACAATGCTGCCGGCC